AGGAAAGGATATGAACTTCCTCATCAGATACCACATGGTAAAAGTAATGAAACAATTTCAAGCAGTGCCCAGTGTCCTGCTATGAGAGCGTATCTCCTGCCTGTCCCCCAGCGTCCTACAGTGCCTCCTCTATCTATACTTAGGAATGGTCTCCCGGCAGGGCAGTCCCTCCCACACAGACTTCTTGTTCCTGGTGTTCAAGATCTTGCTCCAGGGGCAGATCTTGGCAGCTGTACTTTCATAGATAAAAGTCTATGGTGGTTGCTGGCCTCTTCCCTGCCCCGACTCCTAGCTGATGAGAGGAGGCAGCGCAGCCCTGGAGAAGGTGTGCTTTAAAACAGAGGCTGGGTGCAACACAGCTTGAGGGTGATATCATCCCAGGAATGGCTGCTGACTGACAGGCTGACTTACCCTATTTAGGTCTGACGTCACCAGAGGGCAAGCAGGAAAGGTTTTTCTTCGAACTAGTCTGGGGTTTTTCAACTCTCTCCCAGACCTGCAGGTCAGGGAAGCAAACAAGAATGCACCCAATAATTGGGATCCCAGTGGTTCTCACCGAACTCGAGAGGGTAGACACTGAATCAGAGACTAGGTTGCAGGCAGCAGGACCTAGCTGTGAGCTTCCAACCGGCCTGCATCTCTGCTCCTGTTTTGAGCTGAACTCATCCATTCTGGACACTTGGTGATCACTGGCAAGAACACCAACTGCAGGGAACTCAGCTTTTCTTGAGTGTGAGAGCTAGTCTGTGTTTTCTGATGATGTCTGAATAACAAAGCCAGCAGCAGCCAAGGCTGGGCACAGCCAGCTCCTCCCTCTTGTTCTGTCCCATCTCTCCCCTCCTGCCCTATCTCATTCTTGTAATATAGGGAGCACCATTCCTGTACCCACATTGCATCTGACTCCCCAGTCCAGGAAGGAAAGTTCAAAGGACAGAACCGTCACCCCAAGATCCCTTCTGGTTCTAAACACAGAAATTAGTACATAATTTCATTCATCCATCCCACTCTCTCTCCCTGCTATCCAGATCATTGGGGCCCTATGTCTGCCCAGCCCATAATGGCAGCCACAGTGCTGGCCACCAGGGCCCACTGGTCCTGCATACAAAGCACCCGGCTGGTCATTATCATTCTGGGGCGGAACTCTGCTTGGCCTACGTCTCATCGGTCACTCAGCAGCCCTTAATGACCTGTCAGTTCCTTGGCCTGCCATTTTCTGTCTAATTAATTCTTTTATTGTGCACCGGATAAAGAAAGACAAAGGCTTTGCTGGCAATAATGATTCATTAAAATGCAGTGCCTTCCCAGCTCTTGGCCCGGCACCAGCCGCTCAACCCGCTGTGGGCATGGTTGCCTGCACCCCTTAACCCTTTGCAAGGTCCTCTGGGCTAGACATCCCAGAAAATCTAGACGTGAGCTAGTCCAAGAACCTGGTGTGGGGGTCTCCTGAAAGATGAGCGCTTTGCCAGGATTGGTCTAGGGGGCCCAGATGTACATTTGAGAATCTAGGCCCTTTTCCCCTACATACAAACCCAAGTGGCCCACCTAGATTCCAACTCCTAACTTGTGGTGAAGGAGAAAAGACTAGGGGAACAGAAAGGCTTGGAGAGAGACATCTAATACTGGACAAGACTCCAGAGACATGTGCCCTTGAGACTGGGTCAAGAAGAAAGGAAGGTGCTACTCATAGAGGTCAGCCAGAGGCCATAACACTCCAGGCTTGGCTAGTTAATCCTCCCGGGATTTCAGTGAGGTCATCCACTCCACGGGCATGTGGGAGACTGAGGCCTCGGAGGTAAAACTGGTAAATGACAGCTTTTCTAACCACTGTTCCATCCAGCCTCCCCACAGGAAGCTGTTCATATGCCTGGATGCTGTGGTGGGAGTGGGGAGGAGAGGCTCTTGAGGGGTATCTGGGCTTCAGTTCTGGGAATAGGCAAAGAGGAAAAGATGAAGGTGTACCTACCTTCAGTCCCTGCACTCTGCTCGTTTATCTTGTCTCAAACACCCACCTCATTTTGCAAATGACTGAAAAGATTCTCAAGAGGTCTGAGGGAGTGGCGATCCCTCTGATAGTCACGGTTGATGTCTGCACAGTGTGCTCTGCCACAGGCAAGTCCTATTCCGGCGAGTACCCTGGCACTCCCAAGAGGCACTCTCAGCCCTGCGTGGTGGCACACACTGAGTAGACAGAGGCAGGCTGGTCTGAGTTTGAGGCTAACCTGGTCAACATAGTGAGTGCCAGAGCCATGTAGAGAGAGACCCTGTCTCAAAAAAAAAAAAAAGTCACTGACAGTTATAGCTGAAGAAGTCTGAGGGACTTGGGGTTGGGATAGGAGAGACAAGTACTCAGTCACACACTGTTGGATTTTGAATGCTTCTCATATATACAGGAAAACAACAGCCCCTGGACACCCATCATGTACAGAGGCCCCAAAGTTGCGAAGGTTTCAGTCCAAATGACCTTGGGTTACAGGATACCCTAAGAATCAAAATTTGGTATATGCTGGGGGGGGGATGACTAACATCCCTTTATTAACTACAACTCCTGGGTATATCAGGGCACCCAGTGGGGAGGCTCCTGGCTGGGGGACACAGTGACCAGGAGCCACCAGCCCATTAAGTAGCAATGCTTGGGCTGCAAAGCCAGTACCAGATGGCCTTACTAGGTGATGAAGGTCACCTTATGTGCCACTAGCATTAAAAAAAAGGACCGACAACATGCCGTCCTATCCAATCCTCCTCCCTCAGGACAATTCTTTGCCTGGGTGCCAGACAAGGGCAATTTATCTTCTTGTCTTAAGAGTCACACTGGGTCTAGTATACTGGGACACTGGAGATAACGCGGGTTCACAGCCTACAGATGAGTGTCCATGTCTGTCCAGTGCCTGGCAGCTGAGACATTACCCCTGAAGAGTACACTGGGGCCCAATGCCTCTGACAGCAGCCCCAGCAAATGTGAGGTGGGCAGAGAGGCTCAGTCCTTGGCAGGGCTGGAGTCCCTTGACATGAAGTCATACAGTGGAGGAAAAAATGGGGATACAGACACCAGACCAGGACTCTGCACCTCTGGTAACCACTCTCTGTGCTGAGCCTTAACTGAGGCCATGGGACACAGCATGTTGAATACCCAAACTGATTACCTGGGAGAGTTGGCTAAGATAGGGGGTGCCTGGAGGACAGAAGTCCTCTATCAGGAACTGATAGCCAGGATGAACATGAACTTAGCCAAACAGATACCAGCTCCCAAGAGCTGAGACTACCCTAAAAAGATCTGCAGAGAATGGAGGGGGCTTTTCCCAGTCTCTCGGATGCTGAGGAAGACAGGACCATTACCCACTTTCTCTTGAACAGGGCATTGCGTTCCACTGAGGTCAGTGGCAACATTGTGTTCGGTAAGGAAATGAAGAAGAGGGCAGACTTTCTGTCGATTTGCCCCTGGGATGATGGGCGAACAGGATGGGTGCTCTCTGAAAGAACAGGACTCCCAAGCTTAGACTCGGGATGAAGCTGGCCAGGGAACTATTTTTAGACTGAAGCTCTTGGGAGATACCAGACAATCTCTTCCTATGGACCAGCACAACTGAACTTCCTCCCATGCTCTCCGCCCCAGCCACAGCCTCCCAGCACTGGGAGCCTCCCAGGATACCTGACCTTGGAAGGTTCTGCCTCTGAGGACAGAGAGAACCAGCTAAAGCCACCAGCTGGGCTAGTCCCAGGAGTTGAGGTGGAAGCAGGCAGGCAGGTACAAAGTACAAAGTACAAAGCATCAACAAGGAAAAAGCTGGGGTGTACAGGCCTGGACACTGGTGCCTCACTTCACGATGCTTAGATACAAGAGGCTCTCGGGAAGCAACACCCAGAATCAGAGCTAGTTGGCAAGACAGAAGGGCCCTGGGCCCCAGGAGTTAATACTCAGGAGGCTTGCCAAGTCCCAACAGAACTGGCAGGGCCACCCGGCCCTTGGGAACCTGGCAAGGCCCAAAGCTAATCCCAACTCAGCAGCAGGGCCTCACGGCTTTGTCAGCGAGCCGGGCGCCTAGAGTTCTCCTTGGTCTGGGGTGTCAATGAGAGAACTCTGGGGGCCATATGGATTCAGACAACCCTTGGCTGGACTCAGAGGACTGGCAGGGTTTGGGTCCACATGGGCAGCGGGCTGTGAAGGCATCAGTCATCCATGGACTTGGTTCTCACAGCACCAGCCTCAGAATCCCCTACACCTGGAAGCTTGGCACACTCAGACCCTACAAGTTCTTATAAACCTAGGTGACTTTTCTCATTGCTGGTCTTGGCAGGCCCCAGAGTCAAGCTTCTCAAAGTGAGGTAGTAATAACTCCCCCACACATACAAACATTGGGGCTCCAGAGAGACATGACTACCCCCACCCCCAGACCAAGGCTGAAGTCTACATAGCTGGGATACAGCCGGCCCTGGCAGCTCCTGCTAACCGCGTGTACCCAATAGGCTTGGCAGGAGCCCCCCCTCTACTTGCTGTCTCTCTTCACAACCATTTTCTCGATAGAAACTTCCCTCCGAGCTGCAGGCTCTCTTGGGATGGTTCTTCTCTGCTCCCAGCCTGGCTCTGAGCCAGGACCCCGCTCCCAGAAGCAAAAATGCCCATCAGCTTGAGACACTGTACAGCCACCTAGATACCAGCCTCGATTCGCCTGGGAGGAAAGTATGGCTTGGAATGGCCCATCTGGACCTGTGTTTGTCTGCTTTGGAGCAAACCCTCAAAATGAGGAAGCCAGACAAAGCTAAAGGCATGGTGTTTAAATTCAGACGAAGTGGTTGTGACAGAGTGTCTGGCTACCTCCCTAAGGTGAAGCAAAGTTCCTGCTTTGGGGAGTCTGGGCTGGCTCTGCCCCACCCCCCCACCCCCCACCCCAGTGGCCTGCTCAAGGCAGCTGGAACAGGCTCTCAGTAGAGCCGCATCCATCTCTGCTAGGAACCTTTCTGCAAGAACCCCCGGGGTTGACAGAGAAGTAACACTCAAAACATGCTCCAAGTAGATAAAAAGCATTTTTTTTTAAATTTTATCAAATTGATCTGTACAAAAGTTAGCATTGCCTGGTCAGAAAGTAACGAAACACAGCAGGTAAAGGACAGCAAACGTCTTTCTGAATTCAACGCCAAAAAGAAAAAAAGAAAAGAAAAAAGAGACTGCATAAAAACGAGTTTGCTGTGGCTCCCACCCCCACCCCCGGAATGAGATATGCTGAGAGAAAAAGAAAAAAAAAGACAGGATTTTTTTCCCTCTAAAAAAAGGTAGGAAAAGTAGAAAAAATTAAAAAGAAGCAAAACTTCTCAAATATGAGTAAATATACAAAGTCTCCAAGGCACAAGTTTCCATGAAGTAGCCTGTTACACACTCAGCACACAGCGATGCAGAGTGAAGCAGATGTTACTCTCTAACTAGGAACCTAGGCAGGTTAGTGGGGAGGCTCTCCTTCCACAGCTCGGTAAGTAGCGTCTGGTGCCAACGAGCCAAGATTATTGTGGTTCTGCAGCTGCCAGCTTGCAGGAAATTCTGTCTTCTACTGCTTGGCACCACCGAGGGCAGAGATGATACTCCTGCCTTCCAATGCCTGACCCAACATTGGTGCTGGGCTTTTTGTTGTAACCAGACCTCAAGAGGTCAATCACTTCCTCCTGTGCCTGGTGAAGGCCTCCAGGGACATCCAAAGAGATGCTGCAGGGTGCTGAGCCACCTCCCTCCTGCCCTTTACAGAACGAGCTTCCCGACTTTAATTTTGTCTGCACAAATTACTTCATTAATTAAAGATAAAATAATAACAACATAAATACGTCTTCAACACCTCTCAAAACAAACATGTTTAAGCCTTAAAATAAAAATAACAAAAAATAAAAATAAACACGGAAAGTGTTCGTCTCAGCCAAACCTTGCTGGGAAGAACCGTGGTTAATGTGAAACCCCTCCATCTCACATCGGTCCCAAGAGATGCCCGGGTGGATGTATCCTCGAGCATCCACAGATGTGCTTTCATGCTTTCACCAGGGAGACAGCATCCCTTGGTCCCGGGGAGTTCTTGGCTAGCCTGGTAAAGACCTGAAGTCCCTTCTCTCCTTTGTCCTTAGGTGTGGCTATCTTCTTATCTACTGAGATGCAAACCTCCGGGAGCTGGTGTGAACTTTATCCAAACTGGAGAGCAACAGAATGGCTGTTTCAGAAATTACCGGTCACCTCAGAGAGAGAAAAGGGGGAAAAGAGAGCTCTGTCCCCTGGCAGAAGTTTGGATATCCAGAGGCAAAGGGACACAAGGTGACAAAGCCTGGCTTCCTGCACATTCAGCAGGCACTTGAAGAAGTGAGGCCGTGCTGGCTGCCTCCACCCTCTAACTGAGTACACTTCTGGAAGAACTCAAAGACCTGGCTATACTTCGTGGACACGGAGTCCTCCGGGATGCAGCAGCCTCAGGGCCGGGTCAGGGTGGTGTACACAGGCTGGTCCCAGTTGCTGCTGGGACTGTGTGCTGGCGGCATGGAGAGCCCGTTGAGCAGTGGCGAGGCATAGGGCCGGCGGGATGAATGGAAGTAAGGGTATTGGTAGAGGCTGGGAGGGTAGCCAGGGTAGGGGCTGTAGTAGTTGGAAGCCTGCAGGTCAGTGTAGTCACACTGTGCGCTGGCGAAGGAGCTGGCAGCTGTGGCAGAGGCAGCTGTGGTGACACTGGCCTGGGCACTGTAGGAGCCATAGTCAGCACGGCCAGGCGAGCCGTGTGACTGGTCGTTGTAGTGGCTGGGACTCAGCTGCTCCGTCTTGATATGTGGCCGAAGGGGTCCTGCCTCTGTGGGCGAGGCTGAGGCCGAGGGAGCTCCCTTGTGGGCCCACACAGGGGATGCCCCTATGCCAGTCGCCCCGGAGTGGGAGTAGGAAGCGCCTCCATAGGAGCCAGAGGCAGTGGCCTGGCTGGGCTCTGTGGGCATGGCTGAGTGGCCATTGAGGGGCAAGTACTGGTCAAACTCGTGGACATCGAAGGTATCCATGTTACTGATAACCTCGCTGCTGAGCTCAGAGATGTCCACATTGCTGAAGTCGATGTTCTGGCGCCCACTGTCCACCAGGCGGCGCCCTTCCAGCCTTAGCTCTTGCTTGCTTCCATTGCTGCCCTGGTGAAGGTCCGTCTTGGGGGTGGTGGGTGGGGTGGGTGGCCCATGGGTCTGGCCTGAGGAAGAAAATATATTGCAAGGATGAATGCCCCTTCTGTGAGACCAGGGTGGAGCTGGTGGGTGACACCAGGAACCCTGGTAACTGCCACAGGTAGAAATCAACGGCTTTTTGTTTCCTTACCTTCCCAGAAATTCCTGCAAACTCAGACCTAGCCCTCACTCACTGGCTGAGAAAATTCCGTTAGGCACTGTGCTGTGGGGAGACCCAAGGCTCCTCCCTGAAGACCTGGGTGGGGGGATGGAAGGCAGCCAGCCGGCCCCACCAGAACTAGCATTAATGGGGCACTCTTGGAATGCTTGGCCCTGGGCACTGGACCAAGGTGAACCCACACAACCCTGTTCTTTCCCCATCACAGCCGAGTAAACGGAAGCTCACAGCCGGCCTGCCTCCAGCTTCACTGCGGCTGCTTAGCTGTTGGGACCCCACCCGCCAGCCTGATTCTGAAGCTGGGGCTGTTGACCCATGCTGTTGTCGTCACCGTAGAGTGGAGGCAGATTGTGAGTGAGTCCCAGTGAAGATACACATTTCCAGAGTGCTAGATGGAGCTATACAGCCCCCTCCTTTTGTACATCAGAAATAGCTACATCCAGAGGCTTTCTCAAGGGATCGGGGAAGACCTGGCCCTGTGCAGATTGCCAACCCTGGAGGGAAGACCTGCCCACACTCCAGGTCAGTCCTGCTATTGCCTATCCCTATGCTAAGGGTCCCGGAGCCCACCTGTGTGGTCGCTGTGGTGGTGTGCATCGCCAAGCACTGCATCAGCTTTGTACATGGGACCACCAGGGTGGTGGCCCAGTTCAGTACCAGAGTCTGAGTCGCTCCGGCCGGTCTTCACACTCTTCCTTCGCCTCGGCTGGTATTTGTAATCTGGGTGGTCTTTCTTGTGCTGCACACGGAGCCTCTCGGCCTCCTCCACGAATGGCCGCTTCTCGCTTTCACTCAGCAAGCTGCAGAAAACACAGCAGAGCAAGGATGGCTACGGGGCTCCAGGCTTGCCAAGGGCCCAGACAGTGCCAGCACATACGCTGCTGCCTGGAGTCTGACAGCAGGAGCACAGGATAGGGTACTGGAGAGATCAGGATACCCTCCAGGGGGTAACCTGCCCTCCTTCTGAGAATTCAGATACCAGTGGGGTAGAGCCCAACAGGCCTGTGTGGTGAGAACTGTATGTTCTTTATAGTCTAAGGGACAAGAAAGACCCCAGTTCTCCATCTTTCCTGAAGTCTCCCTTTTGAACACTCTTTGCTCATCCATTTCGCACACACACACACACACACCGTCTCTTTCAAGGAGGAAGACAGGACCCAGTAAAAACTACACTTGGACAAAGGCGAGGCTTTCTGGGAGCCAGCTGTCCCAAGCTTCCAGGGGTGATGGGGAAGCTCCAGGAGACTGTCCTCGAGCATGCACACACCCTGAGAATCTCTCGGCCTTGCTCCTCAACTTGCTGGCAAAGCTGAGAGGTCAAGACAACCTGGCTGTCCTGCTCAGCCCAGTGTTACTGACACACTCTGTTTCAAACTCGAGTAGAGGCAGCTTGGGAGGTGGGACTGTGCTGCTGTCCTCAGTAATGCCGGCCTTTCTCAGGCCAAAGTGCCCATTGAGCCTCTGTCACTTTCACCTGCTCTTTCTTTCCTCAATTCTAGGTCGCTGTGGCCCGGGGACAGTACCTGCCATCAGACTTGGACTCCTCATGGATCCCAGAGCCCCAGCTTTTGCCCAGGACAAAGCAGTTTGATGCCTGCCCATATGCCTACAGGCCATGGAGGACCAACCAAAGCTGGGATCCTCAGTTCTGCAGTTCTCAGCAGGATATCCCAGGAGAGGAGAAAGGACTGGAGGGTCACACTCCAGACACTGGCCTCGGTCCATCTCCCAAGTCCCACACCTGGTGTCTGGTCTCTGTTAACCAGAAGGTTTTTTTCCAACCAGACCCACCCTGGAACCAGCCCAGGAGCACTGCCCAAGCTTGGGTACGACGCCACCTCCTCCAGCCCCTACACTCCTTTCCTCACCCAGAGTGTCAAGAGTCCCCACACTCACCGCCACAGCTTGCCCAGGGTCTTGCTGAGCTCTGCGTTATGGAGATGCGGATACTGGTCCGCCAGCTTGCGGCGCGCAGCCTGTGCCCACACCATGAAGGCATTCATGGGTCGCTTCACGTGCGGCTTGGCCTTGAGCGTGCCGCCACCGCCGCCGCGCACCGGCATAGGCACCAGACTCCAGTCATAGCCCTTAAGCACCTGCGACACGGCATCACGGATGCAGGCTGGGAAGCGTTCGTCTGCTGCCTCAGAAGTATCCCCTCGGCTGCCGCCCCCCGCGCGGCCCAGGCCCTCTGATCCCGCGGGCGACGGTGGCGCGTCGGAGTCTGAATCCTCCACGTGTGACATGGAGCTAGCGGTGCCAGACGGGCTGCAGGGCGGCTGGGCGCGGGCCTCACTCATGTCCAACATCGGGGCCACGCGCGTAGAGGCGCTCAGTGGGGATGGACGCAGGGGTCGCGCCCGGTCACTCTGTGGACGGACACTCTGAAATCCAAGGTTGCCACGCAGGACCCAATCTTTGTCCTCACCGCAGGGGCCCAGCAGCCGCTCCACCGCCGCTGCAGCTCAATCTCAGTTCTGGGACCCGCAACAAGTTTCTTTAAGCCACCGCCGAAACCCCGCCCCTCCCGGTCCGGGTTGGCAGGCGCGTCCTCCCCGAGGCGGGGTTTGTATGGCCCGCCCCTAATCCAAACAAGCCTGTGGACCCCGCCCCACCCTCCGCACCACGTGGGCCAGGCGCCCCGCAGCCTGATCCCTCGACTGAGGCAGGGTCAGAGGGCTAAGGGTGACTGACTGCCCAGTGCATGGGTCTCTGCAGCGTGGCTTGACTTTCGGGCGGCAGGCGAGGATGCTAATCCACACGGTTCCTGAGCCCAACATCCCTCCCTCCGTTGTGGGGCTAGAATCCGCTAATGCAACCAAACCCGGGTTCTGCCCGCAAGGTGGCACAATGACAAGAGCCACCAGGTGACCCTGGTAACTAGCGCACCTAGGTGAGCTGGAGGACCCCGGGGCTAGACAGAGGTGGGAGGGCGGGGGCGCTGGGCGGGTCTGCTCTGGCAGCGGCTGCTAAGTCCCTGGGGCGGTCAGGCGGATGGCGGGGCCGGACGCGGGGGCCCGGGTCCTTCCGGGTATGACCTGTGGCGGGGGTGCGGAGGCCCTGGCGGGCGGGCCTGGGTGGTCTGGCGGAGGCGGAAACCACGCTGGGCTGCTTCTCCTCAGCGCCTAGAGAGAAGGCGGAGAGTGCTCAGGGTCGGAGAGGGGACGTTTCTCCCGAGGCCAGCGCCAAGCCGGGGCTCCGAGCCGCGCCCGAGGTCGCCCCCGCGAATTGGCCACCACCCCGGAGGTCTCCAAGTGCAGCTAGGAGTCTCTCGCCAAACTCAGTGAAGGCGATGTACCCGCCACGCTAAGCTTGTCTGGGTGGCATCATTGAGCTGTGACTCGAGAGCTCGGTAACCCTAAACGAGGCCACCTGTTTCCCAAGCCCTTGGAGGCGGCTGCAGGGAAGAACTGTGGTCTCTAATAATCCCCAACTCCAGCCAAGCCTTGAGTGGTGCCCTAATCTCCGGGTCTCAGATCCCAGCCTCCAGTCAGACTTCCTCTGCAGACCTGGAAAAGGCCAGTCCTGTGCAATTGTGGCCTCAGGGCATCTACAGCTCTTGACAGAAGGAGGAGGTCCTAGGTCCTGCTTCCTG